GATAGCCCATGGGCTTGGCTTCAAATGCAGAGATTCCTTTTTCAGCAGGGTGCCTTCCCAGCATCTTCCTGACTCATCTTTTGAAGCAGCCATCACAGAAACATGGCCTCCGGCTCTGGAAACTGTCAGCCTTTCCTGTGTGATTTTCAGACAGTCTGGCAGCCTGGCAGGTGCTCACCGCCACATGTAAATGGGACATCCTAAAAGTACCTATCGGCTAAAGCTTTTACCACTACCCCCATGGTATAAAATATCTTAGCCTTCTCTTAATATTGGGATTTTGGGTCAGAGACTGGGTCCCAGAGATTGGGTCCCAGAGAGAATAAAGCTGTAAGCACAGACTAAGCCGAGCCTTGAGTCTTGTGTACCGGCAACCTGATCCCCCAGAGGGCAGCACCTTCCGTTACCGACCCACGGACACCAGCTTTCGCGGTCTCCGTACTCGTTCCCTGCGTGGCTCAGTGGCCAGGAGCCTCACATCCTGAGGAAGGGTACAAGGGTGAAATAGAGACGGGATTCCGGCTGGACAATGCTCCAGTAGCAGAATAAGCTCCCAGCACCAGAGAAGTTGCAACAGCCACCAGCTGTCACCCGCAGCTTCCCAGAGCAGCTTCCCAGAGAAGTCTGCCGGATCTGCCGCCGCTCCCCAGAGCAGTCTGCGGACCCGCAGGGAGTGAGCACACCCTGCGCCCAGAGAGAGTGCAGTCGTCCATAGTGGGTCAGTGCAGCCACCTGACTGGAGAGAGAAGACTGTCCAAGTAACCAAGTATCAGAAGTCAGTTATCAACAGGAACAAAAGGTTGACAGCATGTCAGGGTGACCCCGAGTATGCACCATAAGAGACAGACTAGGGGGAAAGCCTTGATGTAAGAAGTTGGAGGAAGCCCCACAGTTAATCCCGGAAGAAGGAGGCCTGTGTTAGTTACTACTCTATCGCCATAACAGAATACTTGAGGTGACAACTTATGAAGAGAAGATATTTTGGTTCATGCTTCTGAAGGTTCCAGTCTAGATCAAATGAGGTCAGAATGTCATGGAGGGACCATCATGACAGGACAAACTGCTCTCCTCACGAGCCAGGAAGCAGAGCCAGAGAGAAGGAGGAAAAGACTTAGGGTTGCACAATCCCCTCTAAGGAGGGGGGGCATTGGACCTAAGGACCTCCTGCTAGGCCTCCACCACCTCCCAGCAGCGTCACCCTGGGAGCCAAGCCTTTACCACAATGACCTCTGAGGGAACTTCATCCATTACAAGCCTCCAGTCCCGCTGCACACACTCTCACTAAGGATGCCTGATGCCCCTCAGACCATTCTGAGTCCCTCAGCCCACCAGGCCTCATTTGGTTTTGCTAACTACAGTCTTGTTGGCTCACCTACACCAGGGTGCACCTGCTCAAGAGGACATCGGGAACACCTGCAGGGCCTCACAGCTCCTGACCTGCAGGCCATGCCACCCATCAAGTCTGTTTCCAGAGTGTTGCTACAAACAGTGGGGAGAACAGTTCAATTTATGCTGATGCTCCCCATGGCCATGACTTGTTTTTCTAAGCCCAGCCAGGTCAAATCAATAGTGCTATGAGATCTGATTTTAACCCGTTCTTTGAAATGTCAATTGCTTTTCCCACAGATCGGTATCTGATATTACCATTAGCCTATCAGGTGGCAAAGCCTGTCCTAAAATCACAGGACTTGATCTCATGGTCACTATTCTCTTTTCCTATCACAGTTTGGATGCAGGGTTAACATGAGGAATGAGCCACAAAGAAAGACTGGGAAATTTATCTGGAAGGCCAAACCAGATCAGATTCCACCGGCATGACCCAGCAAGAAAGGAGCTCTGGGGTGCAAGGGCAGCACACACTGCTTCCACCCTCGAGAGGGGAGAGAGACAGAGAGACAGAGAGAGAGACAGAGAGAGAGAGAGAGAGACAGAGAGAGAGAGAGACAGAGAGACAGAGACAGACAGAGAGACAGAGAGAGTTGTGTGTCTGCACACAGCTGAGACAGAGACAGAGAGACAGAGAGACAGAGACAGACAGAGAGACAGACAGAGAGAGTTGTGTGTCTGCACACAGCTCCTGCCGTGTGTGTGTGTGTGTGTGTGTGTGCAGCCCTGGAGTGTGTGGCTGTCTGCAGAGAGCAGAGGAAGGGCTGAGAAGGGACAGAGTGTGTCTGGTGCCTGATGCAAAGGCACCTGTGAATGGCTCCAAAGTGCTCCTCTTTCCACACAGGACACCCCACTCCACCCCTGCCCACACCAAGTGGGCAGCTTCATGACTTCTGACCTGTCTCCCTCAGCCCTGACTTCCTCCTGAGACCCAGGGCCACCCAGGGCCTAGGGTCCATTCCTGGGTCTCAGCCAGCTCTTCTCCTCTACCTCACTCTCTCCTTCCCATCCTTCTGTCTTTACAATGGCAGAGCAGCACAATCCTTGGGGTCCAGCCTCCTCTCCCAGGAGCCTCACTTTCCCAGCAACCCCCACATGACCACTGAAGTGGCAATGGACCCCATGTCCTCAGAACCTCTTTGTGACTAAGGCTGGTGGCCTAAGGTTCTCCTACCTCAGAGCAGTTCTGACACTCTCAGCTGCTGCTCTGAAACTGCTCTCTCCCACTGGCACGTTGGCATTCCTCCTCTCTCCCAGCTCCTTGGCCTCTTCAGTCTCCTTGGGGGCCTCAGCTGATCTCTCTGACATCTGCCAGCATCCCCCACCTCCACCTTTCTCCAAACTTCCTCTTCTCCAGTCCTCTCTGTCCTGCCCCTGGGTCCCAGGATCCAAGAGACTCAGAAGCACAGCTCCGAGCCCCTCCCTAGATCCCCACACCCTCCCCAGATCCCCATACCCTCCCCAGCTCCCAGCCCCTACCCAGCTCCCCTACACGCTCCCCAGTTCCCCCACACCCTCCCCAGCTCCCCCATACCCTCCTCAGCTCCCAGTCCCTTCCCAGCTCCCCAGGACCCACCCCATCCCACAGTCACGCATGCTAGCACACCAAGGTAAGCCCACATCATGGAACACTATGGAAACCCCTGTGAACTCACTTACCAGCGGCCACTAGCCTCAGCCAGGCGTCCATAGAGGGTGCCCCCTTCGTTCCAACCCCTAGCCTCAGCTCACTTTTTAACCTTCCACTACCACCAGTTTATTTAAAAAAAAAAAAAAAAAAAAAAAACTTCTGAAGTGTAAATTTATTTGTGACTTAAATATACACTCTAAGGTAACTAACACCTATATGAACTGTAAATACAATAGAAGGTTGAAAAGAAACATTAGATGAGCATGTTAAAAGTTATTCATTTCTTAGGCAGTTGGACCACCACACTCCCTTTTTCCTAGTGTTTATGTACACTTGTTCATAGACAGCCAACACACTGAGAAGTGTGCACAATACTGAGGGTGGATCTCAGGGAACTCTCACCCTTACAACCAGCACATAAGAGGGGGACCATCACCAGCCCCACATATGCCCACTGTACCCTTTCATCAAAACCCACCTCTCAGGTCACCCAGGGCTCTGACTTTTCACGGCAGGGATTCATTCTGCCAGTTTTCAATCTACATAAATGGGCACTGCAGCAAGAACACAGGCATCTGGGTTGGAGTGAACCTTGCAGTTCATCCAGATCTTCCCACTGGTTGGTGTTCATGGGTCCCTTGATTTGGTACTCCATCATGGAGTCACCACACGTGTCTCGCCATCTATGAATGCTTCCTTAAGAGTTGCAGCTGCTGTCAACAGAAGACACAGCCATGTGCGTTCTGTGTGGGACTCAGCTGGGATGGTACCAGGCAGCAGAACTGCTGGGTCACAGGGGGCTTGTCTAGCTTTGGTTCATGTGGTGGCTTTCCACAGTGGCTAACCCAGCTTACACTCTGGCCTACAGGGTACAGAAATTCTGGTGGCTCCTCAGTCTTGCTATCATTTTTCCCTACTGTTAGCAGTTCTAGTGAACAGGGGCTCACCGGGCAAGCAAGACAGTCCCTTTAGAGATGGCAACAGTGACAGTGCCTCAAAAACTCAAAGGCCTGAGGTGGGTCAGAGCCAGAGCCCACACCCAGATCCAGGGTGCTGTTCCAGGGGTGCTGTTGTTGCCACTCAAACACCCAAACAAGAGGAACACTGAAGTGCTGTGTACTGTGCTGCTCCCCCTACACCGCTGTGACAGAAAAGACGGAGTAAAATGGTCTGTCAATCCAACTTTGAGTCAGATACACAGAAGAAGGCAGGGAGACACACACACCCCAAGAACTAACAGTGCACAAGAAGCAGCAGTGAAAACCTTTAATCCCAGCACTTGGGAGGCAGAAGCAGGCAGATCTCTGTGAGTTCAAGGCCAACCTGGTCTACATAGTGAGTTCCAGGACAGCTGGGGCTACAGGTAATCCCAGCACTTGGGAGGCAGAAGCAGGCAGATCTCTGTGAGTTCAAGGCCAACCTGGTCTACATAGTGAGTTCCAGGACAGCTGGGGCTACAGGGAGACCCTGTCTCAAAAGAGACCAACTCTCCCTCACCCAGCAGTTGCCAAAAGTTCTCAGCTAAGTTGGGGCTTATTCTGATTTGAGTCTGCATGGGTTTTGTGCATGCTGTCATTGCTGTTGTAAGTTCATATGAACAAGCTTTCAGCTGCCTGGAAAACTATGCTTCCTTGTGGTCATCCACTATCTATGGCTCTTACAGCCTCTCCACCCCCTCTTCTGCAATGGTCCCTGAGCCCTGGGTGGCAGAGGTCAATAGGAGTCCTATCCAGAAACATACACTCTGCAGACTCTTAGTCTCTGTATTTTGGCCAGATGTGACTTTCTGTGTTAATCACCATCGGTTGTATAAGGAAGCTTCGCTGGTGAGAGTTGAGAGATACATCAATATTCCCTCTGGTCCATGTTCTGCTATATTCCTTGAGTTTTAGGTGTAGAAGACATATTGCAGATGTGTCACGTTGGGCTGGGCATCTCACAGACACTTATTCTCTGCGTTTGACCAGCTGTGGGACTCTGTAATAAAAATATGGACCACTTCATGAATTTGCATGTCATCCTTGCTCAGGGGCCATGCTAATCTTCTCTGTGCTGTTCTAATTTTAGTACATGGTCTGCAGAAGCACCTGTGTTAGTTTTTCTACCTTTTGACCTGTCAATTATTTGCTTGCTCACTTGTTTTGAAACAGGGTCTCACACTGTAGCCCAGGTTGACCTCAATTTATAAAGTTGGAGTGCAGATCAAAAGGCTAGAACCTCAGCAGTTGTCTTGGGCCATGAAGTGGCCTCAGACTTAGAAGGAGCCTGGCTCTCTTACCATGCAGACTCTACCTACTCTGAGGTGATTGCTTTCTGACTTCTCACACATGGAGAAGAAACTTCTATCTTATGTCATTTTGAGTTTACTGTCACTTGTAGCCCAACCTAAAGAAGGACAACAGGTAAATGAGAAAATGGATCATAGTAGACACAGTCACGTGACAGTTAATCTCTGCTTTAGACGTGACTGGATTTAGAGTCACACCCAAAGGGGCATCGATCAGGACATTTCCAGAGAGGTTTAACTGAAGAGGAAAGACCCACCCTGAATGTGGGAGACGCCATCCCATGGGCTGGGAGCTGGGGCTAAATAAAAAGGGAGAAAGCAGAAAGCATATGAATCAGCGTTCACCTCATTCTACTCCCTGATGGCAGACACAATGTAAGTAGCCACCTCAGGCTCCTGCCACTATGAGGGTCCAACATGATGGACTGCATCAAACTATGAACCGAAACAAGACTCTCCTTCCTTTTTTCCTCCCTCCCTCCCTCCCTCCCTCACTGATGCAGGTCATTTTCATGCTCCTTCAATAAAGTCTAGCATAGTTTTTATATCTATCAAGCAACTCAAATATTTATTGTTGAAATGAACAGGAATCTGGAAGAATGAGTGCAATTTCATTGCTTTAAAAAATTAACATTTTGGGTTTGGTAATTTAGGTCACTGGTATAATGCTTGCCTAGCAAGCACAAAGTCCTGAGTTCCTAGCACTTAAGGGAAGAAATTTTAACGTTCTAATCAACTCATTTTTCCAAATGAACATCACCATTTTATTATGCTTTATAAAATGCCTCATTAGAGTCACCCTACAGCTTTGCCAACATTTAGAGATATAATACTGTCACTGTTTTTCCATTTAAACTCTCAGGGAAGAGCCAGTGACAGACTGATTGATTGATTGGTTGATGATTGACTGATTGACTGACTTCAGCCTATTCAGTCACTACCCATTGGGTGAGAGGCTTCTGTAGCAAACATAATTATAAAAATGAGGCTTTGCAGTCAAAAGACAAACAAACATTAGGTAAGCAATCCCTAACGCCACCCACTACCATGCCTGCTAACTCAGGTAACCAGGGAGGCACAGGAGGTCCTGAAGCATCTTGTCTTCATCGCCCAGGTGTGAACTGGAGTGTCTTCCCCTCTTCTCCATGAGCAGCGTAGGTCCACCATTAAGGTTCCTGGGTCATGTCTTCTGTGACTCTGCCTGCACTGATCAACATGGACCCCTACACTCCCCGACAGTGCTCAAGCTCTCTGCATGCCTGTCTCCTGCCAGTGGACCTGGTTTTCCCTCCCACATGTTCATGTTGAACAGCTGAGCATGATGGTGGCGATGATCTTTATTTCATACCTGTGCCTCACTGGCTGGTTTAATCCAGTGGAGACATCTGTAAAAGTATTCAGGTGATGGGAGTATCATCAGAGGATTGTCCTGGGACAGATACTTTGGCTAAGCATCTTACCTATACAGCGTTCCACTGAATCCTTACAGTGATTCTCCTAGAAAAGGAGAAAACGGGGCTGGTAGTACAGCTTATAATTCCAGCACTTGGGCTGCAGAGGTAGGAGGGCCAATCACAAGTTCCAGGCTGGCCAGGGCTACATATTGAGACCATAAAAAACAATAAAACAAAGGTTGGTGAGATGGCTCATCTGGTAAAAGTACTTGCTGTACAACTCTGATGGCCTGAGTTCAATCCCTGGATTCCACAGTGGAAGGAGGAAGGAGAAAACAGACTCCCAAAAGTTGTCCTCTGGCTGCCATTTGTGTGCTCTCTCTCTCTCTCTCTCTCTGTGTCTCTCCGTCTCTGTCTCTGTCTCTCTGTCTCTGTCTCTCTGTCTCTCTCTCACACACACACACCATAATGTGCACATATAATAATTTTTAAGAATTAATAAAATGAAATAAAATAAAAATAAACTGAAGTACCCTCATACCCTGTTCCACAAGTGGTGAAAGGCCTTTCATGTCATATTCTGCTACACGTGCTCCCATCTCTGCCCTCACTGTCCACCCAGCTGTTTCCTTCTCTTAGCCCAAGCATTTGGGTTTCTCAGCTCAACCAACACTGGCACTTTTCCTTTCCTTTCCAGAGAAGCAAAAGGCCTCACCAGGGTGGTCTGCTCTGGTATTTAAGACAGCCATGTCCCTCACGCAGCTGCATCCTGCTCCACGACTGCGGCTTTCAGCACAAGGGTCAGTGCCCTGCTACCCTGCCAGGCTCTCGGGGTTCCTAGTCACAGATCAGATTCCCACCAGCTCGTCACTGGTTCTGTAAGCTCTTTCGGTCAGGCTCTTGAGCTTATTGAGGGTAGACTTTCAGTTACGCTATTCAGGACTCTCTCAGCTTCACCAGGAATCTGGGTAGACCTCATGTACTCTAACTCTGTGACTACACTGATGAGTGGCTTCTCTCTGCTTCCCAAACTCAGAACGGAGTACCCCAAGTCACAGGGCTCCCTCCCCCCAGGCCACTAATCCAATTTGAACTTCTTTCTCACCTCCCCAGGTCCTCCTCCAACAGTTCTGATCAGCAGCCTCTCCTAGGACTTAGGCATACATGCCTCCCCTGGGGCTGCAGGTCCATCCTGAACCCCAGAATCTTGGGCAGGTGGGGGGATAGCCTTTCTTCTCAGGAACCAGAGATTCGGTGCACAGGGGCAGCAACAGAAGGCTCTGGTGAATGGCTTGAGGTTTTCTGAGAGCCTGGCTGCAGCAGAGAGCCTTTCTGAGTCTTCTGCTCAGGGCAGCAGCTTCTCCGGAGAGAATCAGGGTCTACCTGACGGACATGAGAGAGACAGGCTCTGATCCTGCTGAACACCAGACAGCCTAGCTGAGGAACAGAGGAGAGACCCTGAGAGGAGTGGAGGCTGGTGCCTACACCATGGTCTGTCTTCCTGGCTGCCTTCTCCCCACCTTGCCCTTACCCTTACCCTTGCATTGTGCAATGGCATTCCCGGGATGGTGTGCTCACCACACAATCCTCCAACAATCCCATCACCTCCTAAATAGACCCCAGGGGCCATATGTTTATGCAAACAAGGGAGCATCAGAACCGCCCATGCAGAGGGCTACTTCCCTCTCTCTGGCAATAGAAGATGCCCACAATCCAGGTGAGGTATACCAGCTTCCCTCTCTCTGACAATGGCAGATGCCCATGATCCAGGTGAGGTGTATGTGATGGTTTGAATGAAAATGTCCCCCACAGGCTCCAAGTATTTGGACATTTTGTCCCCAGATGATGGCACTGTTTTGGGAGGTTTTAGAAGATGTGGCTATCCTGGAAGAAGCACGTCACTAGGGGTGGGCTTAGAGAGTTCTTAAGCCTTTCCAGATCTCCAGTTGCCCTCTTGCTTCCTATGCCTGTGTGATGATGTGAGAGCTTAGCTTCTGCTGTTCCTGCTCCAGCCACTTCTGGCCACCATGCCTTCCTGCCACAATGGACTGTAATTTCCCTGGAACCACACGCTCAAATAAACTGCTCCTTCTATAAACTGCTTGGGTCAGTGTTTCTATCACAGCAACAGAAAAGTGACTAATACAATGTACCAGCTTCCCTCTCTCTGGCAATGGCAGATGCTCATGATCCAGGTGAGGTATACCAGCCCAGAACATTCTGGGTGCCAAGTGAGCATATCAGTCACAGTGCACTTCCACCTAGCTGTCCCAAGTTCCCCAGACTCAAAATGGTCAACCCCACTTCACTACCTTCCTTCCTCCTCCCCAACCAATACATTCGCATTCCATTTCTCAGACACTAGACCCACCATCTCATGTCAGCAAGAAACTCTGATGTCACCTTCCTTCCCTACTACATCACCATGGTGAAGGTCTACCACCTCAGTTTCTGTACAACAGCCACTCCCCACCCCATGGCCAGGGTGAGGAACTATTATCTGACCCCCTGAACTCCAGTAACAGCCCCTACTCATCTCCTGATCTCCAGCGTCCTTCTCACCACACTGCCATCAGGACCAGTAGTCTTGAACCAATTCCAGGACAATGGGTTCTCCTCCGAATCCAGGACAATGTCTAAATCTGTGCACACTGCCGGCTGGGCCTCTGTGGACGGACCTGAAGCCCCTTTCAGCAGCACCTCTCCTGCCTGCTCTCCTCCCACCTTCTCACTAACCTCACACTCCAGCGCACACACTGGTCCAGCAACACACCAGCTCTCCCTGGCTTCTGTGCTACCACCCAGTGCACCTCCTGCCCAAGCCCTGCACCCAGAAAAGGGAGCCTTTCTGTACAACCTGGGTCTCATGTGAACACGTGAGCTTCCGTCTCCACTGCCCAGCCTCACCAGACACTGTGCTATCCTCATTGTTTCCTATTTGTCAAGTCTGTGGGCTCCCCAAGGCAGCGACACAGTGTCAGGCCCAGTTACCAGCTCAGTAGACTTGTACTTAATGATTAAAAACCACTAATGAGGTCAAGGTGCCTTCCCATTCCCTCAAGAAGCAAGGAGGCAGCCAATCTTCCAGGTAGGAGAAATGAGGCCAACTGCTATCCTGGAAGCCAGCGAGGCAATGGCTCAGAAAGAGATGCTGCTTAGCGGACAGCAGGCAAGTACTGGAAAAGAAGTGTCTACTGTGAAGGCAGACGTGGCAGGGATCCTTAGTGCAGTTCAAGAAAGCAATGCTGAATCCTGGGAACAGCGCTGACCTCACTACCTCTCTTCTGTGCTCACTAGGGCACATCTGCTACCTCTTATAGTCACCAGGCCCTCTTCCTACCTAGAACCATGGCAGGTGTGGCTGCCACCTCTGCACCTGGCTCATTCTAGCTTATCCTGCAGGGCGG